CAAAAACATCAGAAATCCAGAGGGATTGGCTCTTGGTTTAGGAGTTTAGGAGTCTTAAATTACTAGAGTTTTTGTTTTCTACTCATCTTTAATCAAAGCATTTATTTGAAACGTTGCATGTTCTGCTTTCCTGATGATACTGCAAAGGAATCGGTTGCTTCAGAAGCAGGTTGACCACGTAATTTCTCCCTACCTGTAGCAGGGACTGTTTTCTCTTTTTTTATTTGTTTGGCTTAATATAAAGTAAAGGTGTAATACAAATGCTGAAATGTTTCCTCATCTCTCTCACATTCCATCTGTGAATTAGAAATTACAGAAATATAGAAATTGTGTAGTGACAAGGGCTGACACCAATCCTTGAACAGAGCCTGAATAACTGTTAGGACGTTGTTACAATGACCCCTCCTTTGCCTCTAATGAAGATTGCAAGGTCTTTCAGTATCTGTACAGGGTGTTCAGCCAACAGCATGCCCGCACAGAGCCCAAATAACAAGGTAACTCATCCATGTACACAAAACCGTTGGCATTTTCAAAGTTTTTCGAAACCTGTCCTAAACTGAGACACTCGCTGTGGCAGCCTGTGCTGGAGGTTTGGATCTGTGTTTAAACACAAAATTGGGAAGAAATAAAGAGGCAAAATCCCCAAATCCATCCAGGAAAAAAAAAATCCAACAGCAGACACCGATTCTGTTTTTAACATCTGTCTCTGTTGCCTTGTTCATTTTCATTAGAGCTGGACAAACTTTCTATAGCTGAGCCCAGACCAGAGGACTGTAGGAGTTTATTGCAAACTCCAGCACCAGGCTAGATCCTCTGAAAGATTCGCATCATCTGCAGGATTGATGCATAAAGTCTCCTTAATTAAACACTAGCTGTGTAAGGTTTTATCTGAGGAAACCCTGGAACCAGAGTGCAATCTCTGTCTCCCCGTTGGACCTGCAGAGAATGCCTCTTCTTTCATACGGTCAAGCTGAGTCCAGCTGCCCCTCTTCAAAATGGGTTTGGTGGCAATGCATCTGTCCTAGTGGGGTAGGGCTTGTGGAACAGGACATTGCTATGTGTCCTGGTTGTTTCATTAGGCCAAGTCTGATTCTCTCTTTCTTACAATGAGAAAATAGAAATAGTCTTTATTCTGACCTTTCTCATGTTGATAGTCAGCGACGTGAGCTAAAGACAAATAGCCTCAGGTAAAAGATGTAGTAGAAGTTAAAAGTATTTGTATTTATGATTGGTGGGGGTTTTTGTTGGTTTGGTTTTTTTTTTTCATTTTAAACTAAAAATCTGGGTATTGCTTTGAGAGCGATTCCCATATTCCTGGAACCAGACAGGGCATGTGCTGAAGGTGTCCATGTGTGATGTGAACACCCAGTGTAGCTCCTTCTCCAAGGGCAAATTGTGCCTGACAAATTTGGTGGCCTTCTATGACAGGGCCACAGCTCTGGTGGACAAGGGAAGAGCAACTGACATCATCTACCTAGACTTGTGCAAAGCCTTTGACACTGTCCTGCACAACATCCTTGTCTCTAAGCTGGAGGGACATGGATTTGATGGAAGGACCATTCAGTGGATAAGGAATTGGGCTGGATGGTCACACTCAAAGAGTTGCAGTCAACGGCAGGGCAGGGCTAATGGTACTCTGGATCGCAGTGTGACACTTGAGCTGTTCCCAGGCTTAAATAGCTTTGAAGTAACTGCAGTTGGCTACTCCTCCTTTGACTTCTTCTTTGCAGGGAACCAAGATTGAAATCAGAAGGGGAAAAAGGTTCCTTGTGCTGGTGTTTGGGACAGTGTGTCCAGCTCCATGAGCCAGTGCCAGCTGCAAGACAGGAACAGTCCTCTTCCACTAATGAGAAATCCCTCGTGCCCTCGCTTTCTGATCAGAAAAATTTGTCTTAAATTTCTTTAAGACAAAGAACTAATTCTGCTTTTAGTGTCTGCAGTTTCAACTCTGCCTCCTGGGCACAGCTCAGAATTGCCATAGAGAGGAGGGCAAAGCTGGTGCTGCCATTCCAAAAAAAAAGAAAATTATCCCAGAATAACAGAGACTGGAACAAACAAATTGCAGCAGTGCTTTGTGAGTGCCCAGGTCTGTTCAGAGCAGGATGCCAAGCCTTGTCTCAGTGGGGTAGAGGGGATTGGGATCAACACCAGCTTTAGACAAGCAGGCCACATCTCCAACACGGGTTTAGGGCTCAAATGCTCTCCCCCAGCTGCCCTTGCTGGTTTGCTCCTGGAACAGCATTGACTTATGTCAGTCCATGGACACCATACTGGGAGCAGTGTTCCCAATGACATTACAGTTGAGTTAACCCTGTTTTGGAGGAGAAAAGCCATCTGGACGTAAGCTCCGTATGGAAAGTAGCCACAGTCATAGGTGCTGAGTTGCAGAGCATCCTCAGGAGGTGAACCCCAGCCGTGACGCTTGCCCACAGCAGGGAGACTCTAGAGGTGTGTGCGAATTCCATGTACCATAGCACAGAGCTGCCACACGAATAAATAGCAGCACAGGTCCCTCGACTCTCTGTTTACCTGGGATGCTGTTGACACTCTGAATAAGCAAGCGGCTGTGAAGTTACCGGCTGTTTCTCCCTAGTCCTTGGATTAAGCCCTGGTTTGCAATGCATCGTTTAAGAGGTTGCAAATATTTTCCATGTGTTGAAAGAAAATTGCAAACAGATTGAGCCTGGGTACAGTAGATCCACTGGACTAAATTTGACTAAGAAAAGTTTTTCATTAAAGAATGAAGCTTCAGGCGGATGAGGAGTGAGCTGCCATGGAGGGAAATTTTGTCATTTTAATAAAAAAAATTTTGCGAAAGTATACTCTCTGCAAACGTCAAAGGAGAGAGTCCTTGTGCAGGAAAGCACATGATGTAAATCCGTATCTATGAAGGCAGTCCATCTCTCGAATATAACAAAAGTAACTGTATGAAATTGCAAAACAGCATGCACAGTGTTTTCCTGGGGAAATGTGCTGTATTCAGTCATATTAATTACTGCGTGGGCTCAATTTTCAGTGCAGTCAATCCACGGGAAACAAAAGGGCTGCAGGGGAAATATAAAAAGACTTTCAGCTAATAGGAACCAGATTCAATAAAACTGTATCTGCCCTCAGTGAACGGCGAGGCAGAGGTGTGTCTGTTCTCACTTGGCAAGGCACGCGATGGGTCCAGGAAGGGTGTAGGGCTGAGAGGGGCTTGGAGCCGTACCCTGTGCGTGTATACATATATATATACACACACACACACACATATATATATATGACCAATAGAACTCCTATTGTGAGAAACTAGGAAATTCAAATTTTTCTGTGCAGCGTTCAGGCTGTCATCTCAGAGCAGGTTGTCGTGTGATGGCACTTCTGTGGGTGCAGCCTCTGCCTGCTGTGCCCTGCTGTTCCATGAGTCAGGGGCTCTCCAATTTGGTACGATACCAGGGTGTTTTCCTCACCCCACTGTCATTCCAGCATTGCTGCACTGACCCCTCTCTGCCAGCAGCAAGCCCCTGGGCTGGTGGTTCTGCCAGGGGTCTCCCAGGTGGACTTCAGACCCTGGGTGAACGTCACCTTTACTGCAGAATTTCAGTGTAATGGCAATATTTTAGCAAACTGGTTGGTTTGTTTGCCTAGCACTTAATAAGGGGATTATCCGGTTTATTTTTTTTCTTCCCAGATTGCTTTTCAGTTTTGAAGTTGAATGTGTTCATTTTTAGTGGTAGCCTTCTCTTCCATTCAGGCTCCAAAATTCCCAAGGAAGTGACTTCATGGCATTATTCAAGCAGATTATTGCTCGGAGTGGCTGTGGCTGAATTACCTAGTGTTCATATAATGGCAAGCTCCCAGTCCATATGTATTTAATGACTGTAATCATTTATTACTTTCCCTTTATTAGGTTTGTTTTTAAAGAAAGTTTTACTGTGCTATTTATGATATGCTAAGTGGTGCAACTTGCTGAAAAAACATATTGCATACATTTCATTTTTTTAATAGGTTTTGCTTGTTAAAATGGAAATCTTTTCTTTACCCTAGTAGGGCAGGTTTTTGCTGACAGTTTTATTATTTCAATTACTGAGACATTTCTTTCCTCTTTTGTTTCCCCAGATACTCCTCCAGGGAGTTTTAATGTGCCCATTCTTTATTTAAGATTGGGTTCAGAACGTGTTATTTCTAGCAGGGCAGAGGAAGAGCATAATATAGCGGACATTAAATAGTGGGATAGTGTCAAGGTTTTATTTTCTTTTCTCTATGAGTTGTGGAATCCTTTCCTCATCTGTGTCATCTGGTGATTAATTGCTCTGATAATCTGCTTTCCCTCATCAATAACTGTCTGCTTGCAGTGCCAGGCAGAGGCCGTGCTCTGCCTAAAGATTTGGTGGCTGATGAAAAATGAACGTACATGTACGAGTAAAGGGGGGAGACCTCTGAGAGAATTTAAAATTGCCAGAGACGCAGAGTCCTTTTATAAACTCTCTATAGATACTGTCAGCGACTACCATGTGTATTCACTCATGGGTGGGGAAAGGAGAATGCGACCATTCCTCCAGGGCAAAACCCAAGCCTTGCTCAGTGGAGTGAAAAGTGAACCCCAAAGGATGGTACAAGTAGGGAGCCATACAACCTCGGTGAGCCAGCACCAGCAGGAAGGGCAGACTGAATTTGCCTATACGGAGTTCACTAGAGTGGGACAGCATGGACACCAGTGTCTGCACCCCTGGCTCTTGCTGGGGTTGAGCTGAGATTTCCCTCTGCAAGTGCTAGTCAGTCTTTGACCACTGTCTGATGTGTGATGGATTTTATTTTCCATTATAGCATGACCAGTCCTTGGACTATGAGAAAACCAAACCCAAATGCTTATTGGGATGGTGGAGGAGCCCCCAGAGCTCCAGCTGGGCGTGTGCTCAGACTGCCTGTGGCTAGTGCATGGCCTCGACCATCCTTTAGCGAGATGGAAAGCACATCACAAAGCATCTCCTCACACTTCTGCATCCCCTCATGTTTTCCAGAGTGTCTGGAGGAGAGCTTTTTGACCGCATTGTCGAGAAAGGGTTCTACACTGAGAAGGATGCCAGCACTCTGATCCGGCAGGTCCTGGATGCTGTCTACTACCTGCACCGCATGGGCATCGTGCACAGGGACCTCAAGGTATGACCATGACTCAGTCCTCCAGGCAGTGTTAATGAATTATGTGAGTCTACCAAACACATCTAAGTCCAGCATGCCCTGGGACTGGCCGTTTCAGTAAGGCTTTACCATAAGAGGGATGCTCTGAAGACTCCCCGTGTAATTGGGTTTTAATGAGGACTTAGCAATCAATGCTCTTACAATGGGAGTTTTGCACATATGATGTGGGGAAAACAGTCATTCATTAGGACCCAAAACATTACATTAAATCAAGAAACTCATCTCAGCTGGGATGTGTTTACTGCTACAAAGGCTCTTGCAGATTTGCTGTGCTATATTTACTTTTACTTAATAATAATTAGTAACAATAAATAGTGTGGGAAAGTTGAATGATTTCCTACCATGATGTTTGGACCAGTGTTTATGGAGACACTGTTAACAGCAAGGATTCTTCTAAGGAAAATTGTATGGCAACGTGATTTTTAGATAATTTTTCTTTCCGGTGCACCATGTTATCACACCAAAAACTCTTACCTTTTCTTTTGAAAAAAAACCCCAAAACATTCCTCTGTTGTTTCCTTCCTATATCTTAAACTCTCATAAAATAAGCTGAGAGGCTTGGATTTCATAACGCACAGCTAAACCTCTCCATCTTTAGTATCTTAAATAAAATTTAGCACAAGGCATTAGAAAAAGATACAAATGTCAAAAGAAAACTGCGGGTCCCGTTTCTGAGATAGTTAATTCTACTGAAGTTTACTGATAGAAATTAAAAATTCAGTGGATGAAATAACACCTCTGGTTTTGTTTTGAAGGGATGCTCCAAACAGGAATTGCTTTGGATGCTGGGCTTTGAATGTCCCCATGTCAAGCTAATAGAATTTGACAAAACAGTTCAAATTATGTAAAGGCTTAATGAACATTAGTAGAGTCAAGAGCCACAAAGAAGTCTTCTTTTTTTTTTTCTTCTTAAATACAATTTTTTATTAAATTTTAGATTTATTGTATTTTTAATTTGGTCTAATATTAAACTGAATGTTTGTGATTTTTGGCAAGTCCTCTTAGTGAAGGTTGTAGAGCTGAGAATGTAACCTCACTTTTTTTCCTTAAGATGGATGAAAAATTGTAGTGATGAGAGATACTATTTATTTGCTTGTTATCTCCTTCAAAATTAGTGCTGGTGTGAAATGCTGCATAGTGTAAAATAATAAATGTCAGGCTTGTTCCCAAAATGCAATACAGGAAGGCCAAAATAGAGCCCATTACCCATGTAACCACCAGCACCAGAGTTCTCCAAGGTGGAGCAGTGCCCAAGACAGGCAGACACAGCCTTGTTATGTGAAAACCTCAATGCAGCCAGTTCCTTCTGATGCTCTTTGACTCCAGATGTGAATCCTTTAGCCGTGTGTGGGCTGTTCTTTGGGATTCAAAGCTTTTCCACACCTCACTGTTGCAAGGGACTTGCCTCAGTCCTGGACACCTCTGCCAGAAGCGGGCATCCTATGACCTTCACTTGAAAAGATAGACCAGGACAATAGAAAGTAGAAATATATTTTTTTTAAAGCATTGGTTTGGCACATTTTTAGGTCAAAATCTTGAATCCACTGAAGGAAAATACTTACTGATGTCCGCAAGTGGTATTTCCTCTTCACTGTTGAGCAGTTTGGTCCTACTAGTCCCAAAAAATGGGTTTTCAGTAAGGAGGCACTGGTTAGTCTTCCATCTCCTGCAGTCTTCATGTGTTGCCCTCAGTTCCCATTAATTTCCTGATCTTATGCTGAAATATTCTTGTATTTATTAGGGTTCCACTGCATTTTAGTACGGAAGCGTTGTTTGGTATTTTAACATGACCAGCTTTTTCCCAAGTTCAATTTATAGGGAATATTTTCAGGCTCCTTTCTGCAGCCAGAGGTTCTGGAGGGAGGTCTGAGTCCTCTTAATTCGGGTATTCAGTTGTCGGAGCTGTTAATATTCCTGTGTTTATAATTAAATTAAAGGAAGACTGTAGCTCTCACTTTAAAATGGATTAATCTTATTTAAAAGTTCCTAATAGTAAAATATGAGATCTGGTAATTGGGAAGTGTATTCATCTACAAATTACTTTCAGAGTTCATGTAAGGACATGCTGGACTGAGATCAAACCAACCTTCTCCAGTGGTATTTTGGGGCACAGACTAGCTCTTCTCTTTCTTTCATTTTGTTTACAAGTCTTTGTCAGTACCATATCAGTTGTTAAAATTACTCACAAAATATGGTATATGAGGAACACCTGCTGTGAATTTCTATTAGCACAAACATACCATGATGGCAAAAATAGGGATACAATAAGGCTTTTTCTGATGGCAAAATATCAAGATAAGTGCAAGTTTCAAATTGTGATCCCCCAAAATGAAACTCTGGGAACAAATCCACTGTATAAAAATACAACCCTTGAAACATATGTAACAATTATTTATTGTAATTATGTGTTATTCAGATACCAAAATAGTACTTGCTGTAGTTGGGAAAAACAATCTGCACTCCAAGACTCTAATCTAAAAACTGCAGCAGCAGATAGCAAGAAATGGCAGCAGATGAAGTCCAGGATGTACACAAGGACTGAAAGGCTCGAGCAGATCCACTTGGTACCGAGCCACCTCGTTAATGCTTTTTAAATTAACCACCTTGAAGAACCAGAGTTCTTTTAAACAGGTTTTAAACAAGTTTAAGTTTTAAATGGGTGGATTTTTCCTTACTAAATATGACTAATTGGGGGCCTGAGGTGAGTTAGGAGAAGTAATTGGGAAATAATAAATAACAGGATGGAGGAGGGAAGATAGATGCTAGTGCTATTGCAGGCCAATTGCTCCTCCTTACAAATCCAAACTTGGATGTGTCCCAAGGAGTCCAATGATGTTGTGTGGCCGCAGCTGCTTCTCACCATTTCCTGGAGCACACAGCGGAGTGATGGACAAAATGTGTTGCATGCGGGTGGGTGTTTGTACCAGCCTCTGGGCAAGAAGTCTACACCAGGATTATGTTGAATCCATCACTTTTTTAGATGAAGACCCCAAGGTCCAGGTGGTGCAATGGCACTCTGTTACCATCAGATCTTTTAATGAGCCCACATATTAACTAGGGGAAGAAGTGTGCTGTCACAGCACGTAGCAAAAGCTTTGATATGTAGCAGTAACACATCCAAAACATATGGATGGAGGACCATGCTGTAGCAGATGGAGCTGATTGGGCTCTCCAACCCGCCTGACATGGGTATAGAGTCACAGGGCTTCATGAAGTGACTCTTGTTTTCTCTCAGGGTAAACAAGTCGCTGTGCTTAGTGCCATAACATTTTTTCCTAATAAGCTCTAGCTAAAACATCCTTGCTGTAGCTCTGTTAACTGTAAAGGCATTTCCTCACTCCTAACAGTTTATTTCCAGTGGAGACATTACAAATATTCTATAATACCTACTGTTTTCCTTTTTCTAAATGCTGTATAAAATTTTTTCATTGCACACGTGGATTTACCATATTTACCTGCCTTCAAATGAATCCTTCTGTTTTATCACTCTGAAGAGATGATAAGGCAGACACATCTCACAAGTAAAGGACAAGCCTTAGTTCTTATTGGGGTACCAAAGGAGAATTTTGTTATCCCAGGAAAGTTACTCAAAGCTCAAGGTGTCAGCTTCTTCCATTAGTTGCCATACAGGATTCTGGAGAGGTTCTCCATATGGGTTGTAAGAGTAACTTTTTAGGATTTAGGGGAACCAGATTATGAACCAGATTATATTAGTGTATGATGTAACTAAGGATTGTATTAAATGCAATACATCAACCAACAGATGTTGTTGCTCGACTTACATATTCAAAACCCATTTTGCTTGTTCTCCTTTCTAGCCTGAGAACCTGCTTTACTACAGCCAGGATGAAGAGTCAAAAATCATGATCAGTGACTTTGGATTGTCAAAGATGGAGGGTAAAGGAGATGTGATGTCCACAGCCTGCGGGACTCCTGGCTATGTTGGTAAGAGGTTTGGTTATATGTCCGTCCACTCTTCCCAGCTGCAATACAGACACATAGTAAAAAGGGAATAGTAATTCTTTTCCAGTGCCGCTACATAGTGCACATGAGATTTTACAGATGTTCATTAGAAATAGAGATTTCAGGAGGTGCTGGTTCTCTGCCTTGTGTGATCTTCAGGTCCGCATTGTGCGATCCAGCTCAAGGTTCGTGGGATTCACTTTCGTGATTTCAATTCTTTGCAAAATGAGTTTTCTCAAAGACTAAATTAGCTAAATTAGGAGCACGTGAAGAATATCCTCAAATGCATCAATTCTGCAAGCACCTTGTCATGGTTTTGAACCCCTGGCTGGCAGCCAAACACCACAACAGCCGCTCACTCACCCTTCGCTGTCTTGGGGATGGGAGAGAGAATTAAAGGGATAAAGGGAAAAGAGACTTGTGGGTTGAGATAAGAACAATTTAATAAATTAATAAATAATTTACAATAATATTGAAAACAATAATATATA